GTACCCCCACCCTCAGGGTCTCCCTCCCACCGTGCTCTGGGGAGGGGAAGGGGTTAAACTTACCTCTTTCTCCAGCGCTGGGCGGGGAGCTCTCCTCCTCCTCTCCACCTCCTCTTCGGCTAAATGCGCATGCACAATATAGGCTACAAATATATAAACAATAATAAATATTTATCGCAATTCACAAGCCTAATCGGGCAGAAACACGAATCAAATAAACAAACCCCCCCAACGTTTCGGCTCCTCCTGGTAGCCTGGTAGCCTTTATCATAGACACCCTTGATAAAGGCTACCAGGAGGAGCCGAAATGTTGGGGGGTTTGTTTATTTGATTCGTGTTTCTGCCCGATTAGGCTTGTGAATATAAAAAAGGAATATTTATTATGAGCAAAAAATAGTCACAGTGCATACAAAAATATAGACAATAAAATTAGTTACACCAACAATAGATAAAAACAAAATGGATAAAATAACAGAAGACCTATTCACTTAATCAGGTTTTAAAAGTAAAATTTCTGCCCAGGGGCTCTCTGGTAAGAGGATGGTGACTCACTCAGCATTAGACTCTGGCCCCCAAGCACGTCCAAAACACACTTCAGTATCATTAGATATTTACCCTGTGGATTACCAAGCCTCACCCAGAGGTAGGGGTAAGGTGTACCTATAGTAACTAAGTGACCAACCCTTGTGTTCCAGATCAATATCAATCACAATGGAAACATTTGGTTCTATCTCCTCTTATGTACTTAAAACAAAAATATTAATTGCATCTATGAATTTACCATTTTTTGATTTCATAGATGTGTTACACTCCTTACTTGTGACCCAATAGAGCGGACATCACAATCCCTTCCCCTGTGGTTAAGTTACACAAATCATGTTTGGGCTTGATTAGAAGATTGTGCTTTCCCATTCTAAATATAATAAAAGTGAGGCTTAATTATTAATCTGTGGGTAAATATTAATATTTCTTTTGGATATGAAACGAACACAAGGCGAATGGTCATTAACATATCAAAGGACCCCCTATCTAAGATGGAATCTAGACATATGACAATTGAGAGAGTTAGTTTATATTTAAAACAGACTTCCAGGCCACTTATGTGTGACTTCTCACACCTTGCAGATCCTTTGTTTAATCAAAGGATCAATCCATGTGGTAAAACATCTGCCTACTTTCACATTTCTATACAATTTTCATTACTATGGCATTCACCGTCCTGACAGAAAAAGTTGTGCCGAGCAGCCTTACCGTCCTGACAGGAAAAGTTGTGCTGAGCAGCAATCATGCACATGGAAACCTGGTAATTGCTTTTGGGGTCAAAGACCAGTCATGGCCAATCAGATCCACAGGAGGGTTATTTAAACCCAATTCTCCTCTTGCTCATTGCCCTGTCGTGGTTTCATCCTGATGGTAATCCGAGAGTGCGTTCCTGATCTTGATTTTCTGGTATTTGACTTTTGCTTCTTTTGCTTCATTTTGACTTCCCTGAATTCTGATTCTTGACTTTTGGCTTTCCCTCATCATTGTGTTTGATTCTGTGTTCCTGACCTCGGCAAGTATTTTGACTATTCTTGGATATGTTAAGTCCATTCTAAGGTCCGGTTATACGTTATCTTAAGTCCTAGGTGTGACACAGTTCTGCGAGCTGGATCAACTTGTATTCCTGACAATCACCCCTTCAATCATCTGACCCCCTACCAAGTGGCCATTTCATATATGCACTATACAAATCACATTAAATGGCAATATTCTATAGTGCAAAAATGAAATATGCACCCTTGGCGTGACAGCGGGCATTCCTGGTGGGTGCCGTTTGTTAAAGGGTAAGGAAAGGAAACCTGCATTTGCCACTGTGGCTGTTGGATCTTGATATAGGGCCATTACCCCCGTGAGAAAGTCAGGAGGAAATCCATATTTGTGGAGCACTAGCGCCATGTAACGCCAATTTAAGCGGTCAAAGGCCTTCTCTGTGCCTTCAAGATTTTCTTCCTCCATTCGAGCAAGAACATTTAAAATTTTCCTGGTATTATCTGATCCTTGTCTAGACTTCACAAACCCCAACTGATCGTTGTGTATTATTCGGTTTAAAATTTCCAATAACCTGTTGGCAAGGATCTTTTTTTAAAGTTTGGTGTCAAGGTTGAGAAGGGAGATTGGCTGAAAGGTTTGTCATAGTGTCAGAGATTTTAAAGGTTTTGGAAGAGTGAAAATAGGTGCTTGTAACATTTCCTTGTGTAGAGTACACATGAGATAGCATTTATTGAAGAGTGTCGTGAAAGGTTGTGTGAGTATATCGTGGAATGTTTGGTAGTAGAGGTTTGTGAAATTGTCTGGTCCTGGGGATTTGTGTTTCTGTGGCAGTTGGATCATTTGTGTAATCTCAGAGGGATCAAATGGTTTCGAAAGCAACTGTATTTTATCCTCTGATAGAGTAGAAAGATTTACAGTATCTAAAAAGGACTGTATGTCCTCAGTGGAAGGGGTCGTCTTTTAGATTGTGTAAGGAGCGGTTGAATTTGGTAAATTCCTCAACGACCTTTTGAGGATTGATGAGTTTTTTTATTAGTTCGGGTATATATATGAAAGCAAATTTAGATTTGGCAGTGCAAGACTTGAGTTGGGATGCTAAAAGTGCCTCAGGCCTATTTCAATTGACAAACAACTTGTGTTTAAAGTGTCTAAGCATGTAAGCGGTTTTAGGAAGTTTGAGTTGTGTCAGTTTGGCTTGTAGTTCTTTGACTTTCTTTTGTAATGATGAGGAGGGAGTACGTTTATTGGTATGTGTTGCCATAGTCAGATTGTGAATGAGTTCTGTGTAGTGGGAGGTTCTTTGTTTTTTTAGCGAAGCTGGAGTGTTTTATAAAAAGCCTTCTAAGGACTGCTTTGTGTGCTAACCAAACATTTTCTATCGTGGAAGAGAGAAACACTATTGCCCTTCAACACATGCTGTGTTGCTGTTTTCAGCAACACGTGAAGTGTTGCTGTTTTCAAAATAGTTGGTTAATTCTTCTTTAATGAGGTAAACTATATTTGGATCACTTTAAATGGCATCATTAAGTCTCCAGGTTCCGGTGCCTTTGCCCAAACATTGTTCCTCAATATCAATTGTTTTAAGTGCATGGTCTGACCATGATATGATGCCAACATGGGCTGTGAGAACCTTTTGACAGGGTAGAGGAGTGTATTAAAAAATGATCTATTATGGTGTACATGTTGTGGACATGTGAGTGGAATGTATAGGTTGGGTGGATTACATGCCAAGCATTTAGAAAATCGTGTGACAGGACAGTGTCACACAAAGAGGTTGATATAGTGTCTCATTTCTTAGTGGTAGTGGGAGCTACACTCTTGACTGAGGATGTGTCTAATGAGTAGTCAAGTAAAAAGTTGGTGTCACCACCTATAATAACATCCCCAAATGTGTGAATTAGTGCGAGTGTGAATCTTTTTGGTTGTCGTGTGGACCATATATATAAAACATGGTAAAAGGTACATTATTCACATAACATTGCATGATCAAAAACCTTTCATGTTTATCAGTAATTTGTTTCACCAAAGAGAATGAAGCATCTTTGCTAATTAAAATGGAGACACCTCTTTTTTTTTTGGTTTTATAACAGGTATAATAGCTAATTGGGAATTGTTTAGAATAAGTTAAGTTGGTATCCTGGTAGAAAGCAATGGTAGCTTGTGATTTTTTGGCCTCCTCCAAAGCCTTGTGTGGGAAATCTAAGGGACATAATGGTTATTACTATGGTGAAACATAACTTGGTTTGCTATTCTGGAATGCGATGTGCCATTTAACCATTAATGGTCACATATGGTGTTGTAAGCACGTGTTGAAGGGCAATAGTGTTTCTCTATTTTTTTAGTAAAGGTAGAGAGCTCACACAAACTAGAGGAAGAGTGTAAAATTTCAAACGTGACTCTAGATATAGGATGCTATAACAGACACATCTGGGCCATTGGATCTTATCTAGGAACTGCTTCATGCAGAGGGTGCTAAGGGTATGGGCAGAATATGGCATGTGTTGCTGCTTAAGGCCTTTTAGCAATGGTATTATAGCAAATGTGGCCCCTTTCATAGGCCTATATTTGATGTCAGGTGATTATAGATATTCCAAAAAGAATGGAAGAAAAAGGAAGTGAAAAAAAAAATTAAACATAACTATATACATATGAATAACCAGGTGAGTAGACTCTGGTTGGTGGTACCAAATTTGCAGCTCTATGGAACCTATGGGGGGGGAAGGGATGTATTAGTAAGCACACATATTAACTAACAAATAACACTTTTGCAAAGTGCTGAACATTTGAACAAGGAGGGAGAACCATTTGCATTTAAGCATAAGGTGTCTCCTTTGGGGTATAGGCCCCTAATACAACACAACAGACCATACCACTACCATGTTAGAGCTCAATGCAAGGCATCAAAAGCCATGTAACACAAAATTTGTAATTCGTAAGATGAACTATAAATGCTCACGGTACTGGTACTGGTTGATTAGTTTGAAGAGAATTCTCCCCTGTGTAAAGTAAAATGTAGTGAATTGCTGTGTACTGTGGTCCATTCATGTCTGATCTTTTGAATTTTGGCTCTGTCTGGCAGGCGCCAGCTTATCAGGTAATGTGACAGGTATTTTCCATTCTCTTAATAATGTTACGCCTTCTTCTAGGGTATAGGATTCCCTCTCTGTTCCTTTTTCTGTATAAAAAGGAGTGTGTGTAAGCCCCATTTGTACAGCAGTACAATCTCTCTTAGTGCCCTGGTAACAAAAATGAATTACTTGCGCTTCAGCAGGGTGGTAGACTAAAAGTCCACAAATGGCTTAATCCCCGCAAATTGTGTTGGGAATGTTTCGGCATGGCGTGCAGCCTGCATAGCGCATTATTTTGTTGAGTAGTAATGTACACTCATTATCACATCTCTAGGTAAAGTGGTAAAGAGGAATTTAGGTCATGGCAGGCGATGTATGCGATCAAGGCATACCTCATTGTCAGATAGGTTTGGGGACTAAGTCCTTGAAAAAGGCCAAAGCGTAGTTTTGCAGCTCAGAAGGCTTGACGTCCTCTAGAATGCCACGGAGACAGATATTATTACAGCGAGTGTGGTCAGCTACTTTGGTAGTGAGAGCTTCCAGTTTCGCTTCAATGTGCTCAGAGGCCGCCGCGAGGGTGTTGGGGGCCCAAATAATTTTCTCAGTATTGTACTCCAGCTGGGCTGTTTGTTCACCAATCGCCTGTATGTCTGTTCTGATATCTTTGGCTAATTTTGCAAGTTCCATCTGCATGTTTGTTTGCAACTCATAAAGCATCCTCTGGATTGATGATTCTGATGAGCTGCTAATATGGAAGTCTGGTCGCTCGTATCCAGCGCTATCTTGGATCCGATGCTGCGGTGTAGTTAGTGCCGCTATTTGCAAATTAGTCTGCTTCAGTTTAGTTTTTTTCTTGATTTCTGAGCCATGATGGTCAGTATCGGCAGAAGTGCCTTTTATATTGTTTTTGGCTATAAAATTGTCATCTGATCGGTGTAAATAGTGAATCCCTCCCAGGAGCTAACGGCTCACACATCCATACAAGTGAACGGCCAGGCCACACCCCATCAAGTAGCCAATTTTTTTTTATTTCTTAGTGCCAAAGATTTTGCCGAATGAGTTCTACACAGATCGCAGATAATTGGTTTCAAGAGAAATTGTTACATAACTTTAGTGCCTCATACTTGGAGCCTGTTTCTCAGTACAATATATAATTTAAATTTAAAGCAATGGAAACATGCAATAATGTCCCCAGACCTGTGCCGGCAGTGATTTGTATTTGTATGACCTATGTATTATTTCAATAGAGTTAACCTTGTTATCCCAGTGAAGGCCTAGACATTGCACAAGCATCTCCATATATTTCCAGATTTGAAGAGGAAATACTTTTAGGGATACCACTTACTCTTATATTATTTAACCGGGCACTGTCTTCATTGTCCACAAATTGGTTCAAAATGATCCATTTTTCTTTCTGTGTAATTGTAGCTTGATTTTAGACATCTTTGTCAGTTCTCCTTTAAATTAGAAATAGAAACATAGAAACATAGAATGGGATGACAGATAAAACATTTGGCCCATCTAGTATGCCCAATTTTCTAAATACTCTCATTAGTCCCTGGTCTTAGCTAGGATAGCCTTATGCATATCCCACACATGCTTAAACTCCTTCACTGTGTTAACCTCTACCACTTCAGTTAGGAAGGCTATTCCATGCATACACTAACCTCACAGTAAAGTAATACTTCCTGATATTTTTAAATCTTTGCCTCTCTAATTTAAGACTATGTCCTCTTGTTGTGGCAGTTTTTCTCCTTTTAAATATAGTCTCCTCTTTTACTGTGTTGATTCCTGTGGCAAAAGTAAGCTCGCCACTTGTACTTGGAGGGGCCTGCTTGCCAGCCTTCTGCCCACAGCCTGTAAAAGACTACCAAACTTGACCGACCGACCGTCCCTGGAACTGTTTTGGGCATAGGACCATGTGCAGAGTCAGTCATAACTATGACTTCCAGGAAATTCCTAAACCTCTGAACCGATCTGGGTGATTTTTGGATATGTTGTTCACCTAGATCAAGTCTATCAGGGGATGTAACTTATGGGGTTTTATTTGTTTTATAAACTTCTGGGGTTTCATAAAATTGTATGTTTTTCTGTGCTTGGAGATAATTGGGTTAGATTAGTACAGTTCCGGATTCAATTATCTCCCAAGCACAGAGGAGGGATTCTAATGTTTGTCTATTGTGTACTGTATGACTTTTTATTGGTTTATTCATTTTGTGTCCCTGTGCCCAACAAGGTCCACTTGGGTGTCACCCTTGTTGGGAAACTTTCATAAAAGGCCAGTGTGCCTCCATTAAAATTTTGTTCCTGCTTACCCTCAACATAGAGTCTCATCTCATGTGTGGGGGAAATGGCTGTATCTATCCTGGGGATTGCTATAGCACTATACTCCCCTTATAAGAGCTGTTCCTGCTATGCTTACTGGGAGTAGGAGAGGTCTGCCAACTGGAAGCTGAATCCAGGGCTTGGGTCCAGGGTGGGTGAAGGACGGCGAGACCCAAGTGCATAACTGGAAGTGGGGTCTGCAGTGCTTATGGTGTCTGGTGGAGTGCTGGAATTCCTTGGTGAGCACTAGGAGCATGGACTGACGGAGGTACCCAGTCAGGGTGCCAGGCAGCTCATCACAGTTCCCTTTATGTATCATATCCCCCCTGTCTCGTCTTTCCTCCAAGCTACGCATGTTACATAGTTAGTGACATAGGCTGAAAAGAGATATGTGTTCATCAAGTTCAGCCTTCCTCACATTTGTTTTTTTTTTTCTGTTGATCCAAAAGAACGCAAAAAAACACAGTTTGAAGCACTTCCAATTTTGATAAAAACTAGGAAAAAAATTCCATCGACCCCAGAATGGCAGTCAGATTTATCCTTGGATCAAGAAGCTATTACCCTACATTGAAAAATTATTTCCTTGAATATTCTGTTTTTGCAAGTATGCATATAGTTGCTGTTTAAACATTTGTACGGAATCCGATAAAACCACTTCTTCAGGCAGAGAATTTTATATCCTTATTGTTCTTATGGTACAAAAACCCTTTCCTTTGCCTTAGACTAAATCTTCTTTCTTCCAGTCTAAATACATGACCTTGTGTAAAGTCCTATGTGAAGTCCTGTTTGTGAATAGATTTCCACACAATGGTTTGTATTGGACCCGGATATTTTTGTATAATGTTATCATATCCCCTCTGAGGCGACATTTTTCAAAACTAAATAGGTTTACATTTGTTATCCATTCTTCATATCTAAAATGTTCCATTCCTTTTATTAATGTTGTAGCCTGCCTCTGCACTCTTTCTAGTGCCATAATATAATTCATTAGAACAGGTACCCAAAATTGCACTGTGAATGTTTACATGGTGTGTTCAATAAAAACATGGCAACATTTCATTCTTTGTGTGTTATTAGTTTAAGCAGGCTGTGATTGTCTATTGTTGTGACTTAGATTATGATCAGATCACATTTTATGACCAATTTGTGCAGAAATCCATATCATTCCAAAGGGTTCACATACTTTTTCTTGCAACTGTATGTATATATATTTTTTTTTTTTGTAAATCTGTCTTATATTGAGTGTTAATGTAAATATGTATGCCAGATTGCAGCAAAGCATTGATGTTCTAATCTATGCATTTTTTCAATATTTGTTAATTGGATCATCATTGTATTGCTGCAAACTGCCCTATTTACATACTGGGATGAGGCGGCCACTTTCCTCGCTGTACTACTCACGGATTGGATCAAACACCTACCCCCCAAACCCCCCCCTCGGACCAGTGGGGGATACCCCTCTGGACTAATAAGAGCTGTGGCACCAGTACTCACTGCTTCCTTGGAGCTGAAACAGAGTAGCCCTCGGCCACTCCAAGATGGTGACGGCCTACTTAAGCAGCTCCCATGGTGTGAATTCCACCCAGATTGCTCTCTTGTTGATTATACTTCTCTCTGCCCATTGTGGCTGGAAGATATTTTCCAACAATTCTCGTCCACCTTACAACCACGCCACACAGCCAATCTGCTGAACCACCAACATGGAGGACGGAGCGTCATGTGTCCGAGAGGCCTCCTTGACACAATATGCGTAAGAAGAAATGCATAACAGACCAAGGACTGCAAAGTACCCAGGTTCAAATCCCTTGTTGGGCACTTCTGGGTCGACCTTGTCTGGCAGTCTGGATGTCGCGGTGCAAACCGTAACAATCATCAGGAAGGGACATTAGAAGATTAACAAATACCAAGGATTGAAAGAAGAGCTATAGAAGATGTGGAAAGTGAAGGCACAAGTAGTCTAAGTTGTGATAGGAGCACTTGGGACTTTGATTCCCAAGTTGGGGGAGTAGCTACAACAGATTCCAGGTGGAACATCTGAGATTGTTGTCCAGAAGAGTGCAGTTCTAGGAACAGCTAAGATTGCACAGAACCCTCAGACAGCGGCAAGTCACATAATGAGTCCACTCTCCTAATATGAAAAATATATCAGGCTTGAGACGTTGCCTGTGTCAGGATTGGGGGTAACCCCAACACAAAGGGAGAAGGATATTAGCCAAAAATAGAAGGAAGAACGGGATACGTATACTGCACCTTAGAATGGCTGGACTTAACATATGCCTAAAAAGGCAAACAATCAAAATAATAAAGGAATCCTAGGTTAAGGAATACAGAAGTACACGAGAATTAGAAAACAAGACCAGTTATAAAGGGAGTCAGAATAGTCAAAATACAAAACCAGGTCAGCAACAGAAAAAAATGAATAATAATAAACGCACTCTAAGGCTAACAAGTATACTATTGGACACCTTGCACCAGGACTTGTGCAAGACTTCCAACATAAAGGGACCCTAGGTGGCGTGAGGTTGCAAGGGAAGTCCGGAAACCTTGCAGTTCCATGGAGCGAACGGATTGAGCTGGAGGTGTACAAGCCTAGTAAGCCTGGGATCTGCATGGCAGCCAAGATAGCAGTAGCTCCTTGAGATTAAGGCAAAACTACACAGCATGCTAGACAAAGCATTATTTTCTTAGCATACAATCCTCTCAGCAAATATCAACTTGCATTCTGCATCGTTTTAAGCCACAAAAAAGGAAAAGGTTGTGCCAATTGTGAACAAATATGTTTAAAATATTAAAACACTAAAACAAATCAACAAAGAACAAGTAGCAAATATAAAAGTACAAAGTAAATGTGTAAACTTGCAAAGGTGGTAGCCAAATCCAATAGCGGAGACTTTTCATCCTATTCTATACTGGATCCAAAGTAAAACAAAAGAAGAAAGCCAATAGTGCAATATGTTGCAATATTTTGTGGTACTTTTAAAGTGCAGGTCTTATATGGTCCTACTCATGTTTTATAGGACTAAGACCAGCTCTAGTATAATGGACATACAGTGGTATAATCCCCATTTGTAGGATAGGTGTAGTAGTGTTGTCGGCAGATGAGTGTTTACAGCAGTATAATGACCATGAGCTCAAAAATTACAAAACATTACAACTGAGTATACTAAACCGGGAGTAATAAATAAAAATACTTACATTTAATTCAGCAGACACGCCACTCAAGGAATAAGGCGTGAGTGATATAATCCCAATACAGCTTGGTTGCTACTTCAAAGTGTGTGCTGCTTCAAAGTGTGTGCTTGGAGATATTCTGGAGAGTTTTACTGATTCTTCAACTGTCTAAGATTTTGCTAAGATTTTTCTTTTTAGTGTTACAGGTAAGATTAATCTAAAGGAAAAGGTTACTGACTGCACTAGGTTTGATTTCTTGTTGGTAATTGGTAAGGCATTTGATTTGACTAGCTAGGTGTTTGCTATTGATTGTTGGTTAATTAGCTATTGTTTGCAAACATGCATAGGTCTAGTCTACCCAGGTGTTAAACATTCCTAGTGGGTGGTGCTTTTAGGAGTTATATAAAGGGTTGTGGTCTTTAGCTTAGCT